CTACTTGGGAGGCTGAGGCAGGAGACTCGCTTGAGCCCAGGAGTTGGAGGTTGCTGTGAGCTGTGATGCCACAGTACTCTACCCAGGGGCATAGCTTGAGGCTCCGTCTCAAAAAAAAAAAAACACCCTAAGATGTCATCTAACCCCAGTGACAATGGCCCACATCACAAAGTCTTAAAGTTACAGATGCTGGCATGAATGTAGAGAGAAGGGAACACTTTTATACTGCTGGTGGGACTGCAAACTAATACAACCTTTTTGGAAGGAAGTATGAAGAATCCTCAAAGAAATCAAATTAGACCTGCCATTTGATCCTGCAATCCCATTACTAGGCATGTACCCATAAGAAGAAAAATCCTTTTATCGTAAGGACACTTGTGCTAGACTGTTTATCACAGCTCAATTTACAATCGCCAAAATGTGGAAACAGCCTAAATTCCCACCAACCCAGGAATGGATTAACAAGCTGTGGTATATGTATGCCATGGAATACTATTCAGCCATTAAAAGAGATGGAGACTTTACATATTTTGTATTAACCTGGATGGATTCTTCTTAGTAAAGCATCACAAAAATGGGGAAGCAAGAATCCAATGTACTCAATTCTAGTATGAAGGCAGTAGATGAGCTAATACAAGGCGTAGGGTAGGGTAATGAGGGAGCAGGCAGGGGAAGAGGGAGAGGGATGGGGGGTCACAGTGTATGGCACATCTCTTAGGGGAGGGACACAATTATAAGAGGGACTTTATCTAACATGCAATCAGTGTAACCTAATTCTTTGTACCCTCAATGAATCCCAAACAATAAAAAATTAAGAAGTGAAAAAATCAGGCCATAAAATTATTTGGTGCTGCGGCCAGGTGTGGTGGCTCATCCTGTAATCCTAGCACTCTGGGAAGCTGAGGTGGGTGGATTGCTTGAGCTCAGGAGTTTGAGACCAGACTGGGCAAGAGTGAGACCCCCATCTCTACTAAAAATGAAAAATTGAGGCAAGAGGATCACCTAAGCTCAAGAGTTTGAGGTTGCTATGAGTTATGATGCCACGGCACTGTACCCAAGGGCGACAAAGTGAGACTCTGTCACAAAAAAACAGAAATCATTTGGTGTTCCTTTAATTTTAAACAGTTTAAATATACAGATACACAAAGAGCAAAAACGTACATATACATAAATGGAAAAAAGAAACAGGAAGAAAACACACAAAAACATCAATAGTTATCTTTGAGCAGAATTCACTGGTTCTACAAATATTTACTAAGCACTTACTCTATGCCAGGCACTGTTATAGATTCTCAGAGGGAGACATACCATAAATAGAGAAGAAATAAACATATAAATTAAGATTTGTCCTCAGAGGGAGACATAACACAAATAGAGAAGAAATAAACATATAATTTGAGAAAATGTTAGGAAGAAAAATAAAGTAGGGTAGGAGAGTATTGATGGAGCTGCTACTTTAGTTGGTAGGAAGGACTCTGGTAAGATGATATTTGAGCAAAGATCTGAAGGAAGTAAAGAAGCAAGCGTGTGGTTAGCTGGGGAAGGAGCAGTTGAGGTGGAGAGAAGAACACATGCAAAGGGTATAAGGTGAAAAGTTGTCTGAAGAATGGCAAGGAGGCCATGGTGACTGGAGCCCAAGGAAAGAAATGAAGCTGGAAAAGGAGTCAGATGGCAGACCTGTGAGTCCTTATAGGCCATGGCAGAGACTCTGGGAAATCAAGGAGTGTGGAGGAAGAAGAGCAGAATGATCTATTAAACTGAAAGTATCATTTTGGCTGCCACTTTGCTGAAATAGGCTATATGAGATTACAAAAGATTTTCATTTTCTTACTAATACTTTAATCTATATTTCCCAATTTTATATAATATATACCTATATAATCAGGAAGGACAAACCATAAAACCATGCTGTTGATACTGCTGATATATTTTAAAATTTAGTACAATTGGTTATCCAAAAAGATTCCAATTCAATACAAGGTTAATGAACATAGTTAAATAAAATGACACAAGTTCACATAGCTGAGACAGTCAAGATCGCTGTAAACTATTATAAATTCAGTATCTTAGTTCCAATCATAAAGGAAAGGTATATAGTACCAGGAGGAAAAAAATGGGAAATCTCAGGGTGGTGCCTGCAGCTCAAAGGAGTAGGGTGCCAGCCCCATATGCCAGAGGTGGCGGGTTCAAACCCAGCCCTGGCCAAAAACTACAAAAAAAAAAAAAAAGAGAGAGAGAGAGAGAGAGAGAAATCTCAAATACTGGAATAAAAGAACTGCCTGAGTTAAACTAAAAATTCAAGAAAATGAATGGAAACAAATAGAAGTTAATGTAATGAATTTTTTTTTTTTTTTTTTTTTTTGAGACAGAGCCTCAAGCTGTTGCCCCGGTGCAGTGCCATGGCATCACAGGTCACAGCAACCTCCAACTCCTGGGCTCAAGCGAGTCTCCCGCCTCTGCCCCCTCAAGTAGCTGGGACTACCGGTGCCCACCACAACACCTGGCTATTTTTGGTTGCAGCCATCATTGTTTGGCAGGCCCAGGTTGGATTAGAACCTGCCAGCTCAGGTGTATGTGGCTGGCGCCTTAGCCACTTGAGCCACAGGCGCCAAGCCAGTTTAATGAGATTTAAGTGACTCCCAAGCCATCAAAACTTAACTGGATCTTAATAAACACAGTAACAAATATAATAAGGATACATTAAAAAAATTTGTAATGGTACATATTAATTAATTAGCATTACTCTGTGCCAAGTCCCATGGCTAAGCACTTTTTAATTTGATCTCATTATTCTCTCCAATAATCCTAAGAAATAAGTACTATTATTTTTTATATTCATGAAATGTAGTCACAGAAATGAAGCTTAATGAAACTGAAAAGCATGCCCAGGTATCACAACTGGCAAAAGTGGCAGAGGAGAGATTAAAACCTAGGTGTGCTGACACCAGAGCCAAAGCTCTCAACAACTGCATTTGCTCTCCTGCCCCAACCAGGACAATAAGCCTATCGAAGAAAGTTAATGAACTCTGGAAACCTGTTGCAGGGGAGGAAAAGCCCTGATCAAGAACAGGACCTATTGGCTTGGGGCCTGAAGCACAGTGGTTACGGGACCGGCCACATGCATGGAGGCCTAAAAGTTTGAGGTTGCTGTGAGCTGTGATGCCATAGCGCTCTACTGAGGGCGACATACTGAGACTCTGTCTCAAAAAAAAAGAACATGACCTATCAACTTCCAGAGACCGGTATTTCACCACTATAGAGATGAATTCACTGAAATTTAAGAAGCTGGTGGTATGAGACGTTCACATCTATTAACTGAAACTTTCAATTCTAGGGGTGTCAAAAGAAACCTGAAGTGGTTTCAGGTCAGTAGTAGCCCTTGGCTCCTAGCAGAAACATGCAAATCCTCTCTAGAGGAACATATTCCTAATTTCAGCTCCCAATATTCCCAAACATTAAGATCAAGTCCGTATAAGTTCATAGTAAGCAAATGGCAATCAACAAGGAAGCCACCATGATTTCAGATCGTAAAACTGTCAAATAAAGAATAGCTAAGTATAAAATATTCAGGTAATGAAAAATTAGAATAAAAAAATAAACAAGACTATTAGATATGTCCACTACAGAGACATGAGAAACACTAAATGGAACTTCAAAAAATGTTGCTACTAAGTTTTCACTTCATATGCCCGTACGGTAGATGATTATGTGTAGTGATACCAGAAAGACTTATCAGAAGGCCAGAGGAATGGGTTTGTGTTCAAAGGGTGATTCTGTTAGTGGTGTAAGTAGCTGGTCCTTACCCCTATCGTAAGTAAGAAAATATAAAAAGAAGCAAGGGTTATTGGAGAATCAGAAGGACTATCTATTAGGTTATTAAGTATGAAATGTCCAATTTCCTTAAGTACTAAATTTGACAGATGATATTTCTGATATTTCACTTTGACACTTTTTTTAATCATGAAGGTACATACTCATGCTTTTTAGTTTGTGATTATCTTTCAAATTGTTTTTAAAGCAATTTTTGTGAAACCATGGATAAGTCAAAAATTCATGCTATTGTTAAATATCAGTTCCAGCAAAGCCACATCAAAATATCAATAAAGTGTTTGGAAAGGATGTGGTTAAAGAATACATAGTATATGGCTTGGTGCCGTAGCTCAGTGGTTAGGGTGCTGGCCACATAAACTGGGGCTGGTGGGTTTGAACCCAGCCCAGGCCTGCTAAACAACAATGACAACAATAACAAAAATAGCCGGGCTTTGTGACAGGCACCTGTAGTCCCAGCTACTTGGGAAGCTGAGGCAAAAGAATTGCTTAAGCCGAAGAGTTTGAGGTTGCTGTGAGCTAAGACACCATGGTACTCTACCAAGGGTGACATAGTAAGACTCTGTCTCAAAAAAATAAAAAAAGAAAAAAAAAGAACACATAGTATGTTAATGGTTTAACAAGTTCCACTCTGGTGATTTTAATCTTGAAAATGAGCCATGTGGGCAACCTCAAACCATGGTGGATGAGGATGAGCTAGAAAGGTATAGTGGAAGTGAATCCATCTCAACCTACACATGAATTAGTACCAAAGTTCAACGTTACTATTCCAACAATATTGGACCATTTGAAACAAATCAGCAATGTAAAGAAGCTATAGAGATGAATTACACATGAATTAAAAGAGCATCAGAAGAGAAATCATCTTGAAGTTTGCCATTCTTCGCAGTCATGATATAAAGGCAAGATGTATGGTTGCCTTTACATGTATGGTTACATGTGATGAAAAATGGATTCTTTTTGGTAACTGCAAGTGATCAATACAATAGCTGGATAAAAATGAAGCTCCCACTGGGCATGGTGGCTCATGCCTATAATCTTAGCACTCTGGGAGGTTGAGGCAGGT